CTTATATTATATACTTAGTATATAAACTTATTTCATTCACTTGTATGGGCAGCAATCGTGGTTTAAACCTGATATGTCAAACAACGAAATTCAGAAGGGATTGAAGCACTTGCCACTGCACCAGCACCTGAATGTTTTTCGGTTTTTAGGTTATTATGGTTGCCCGAGTGACGTTGAACTAGTCATCTACTTGTTGGAGAACTGTGTTGCGCTTAAGGAAATCATTGTTGATACCAAAACTCAGCTACGTGTGGCCTACGAGCCACTTGATTCTGAACAATTAGAATGGGCTGAAATAGCAAAGGGTTATGCCAAACAGCAGCTGGAGCCGCTAGTACCTAACCACATTAGCTTATTTATATGCTAACCCTTTCTGTGTTTAATTTAATACTCTTGTTTTCTTAGTAATTTATTTATATTAAAACCTGGTGTGATTTATTCTCTGTCCTGTTGTTGTGACTTGTATTGTTTTTTAGTATTATGAAATGATACTTTGCTTTGTTGTAGTATCTTGCATTTGAAATATTTGTGGCATCAGCTTATTTGGGGTTGTGATCCATTCTTCGTGTTAGTGAGTAGATTTATTTCCTTCACTGTTGTTAAATCTATATCTATATAATGGACCAATTCTTATTGCTATAATTGTCATGATTTTGGATGGGAATTTTTTTCATCTATATTTGACATTTGATTAATATTTATTTATTAGCAAATCTTATGTATGAAAAACATAATTAATTTTTATACACTCAATAATTGTTACTCATTAACTACAAATTGGCTTAAATTGAAACATTGACTGTAGATTTATTAGATATATTTTCAATAAGATCTTATATTAATTTAATAGTAGTTTATTGATACAATTCAAAAAGTTATTATGAAAATTGATTTGATTAAATATAGTATCAACTATGGTTGTAGGTATTAAACTAATTAATTATATTCACTATTTATAAGTACTTAAAATACTTAATAAAATAATAAAATAATAAGAATAACTATATTTAAATCATAATAACTTAATAAATAATTTAAATATTAATAAAAAATTCTAAAGTGTAGTCAATTTAACTATAAAAAAGTACATCCCATTGAATATATCATATAATACTATTGAAATTCAAATTATATATTAATAAAAATAAAATTTGATGGTTGGTGCAATTCATAATTATAAGTTTCACCTTAGAAGTATCTATGCACATTAAAAAACTATTCAATTTTTAAAAAAATATTTTTTTTATTATATACTATTTTATAAAGAAAAAATAAGTTAATAAAAAGCAATGTATAATAATATAAAGTATAGCAATTGGTAATTATGGAAATATATAATATATCTAAATATTTGAATAGATAATATATAACTCATTATATAGGTTAAAAATATGAATTAAAGAAATAAATAAATAAAAATGAAACATAAAAATAAAATATTTAACCATAAGAATTTATGTGTTGCATAAGGATTAAAGTTACTAAAAATTAAAACTTATTTATCAAAATTTTAAACATTTAATGCACTTAATAATTATAGCAGAAGATAAATATTACGGGTTAAACGTTGGTCAGTTATCAAACAATATGTGTAAATTATGAATTATTTAAAAAAATATAAGACTAATGATAAACAGTAAAAAGTACAAACAAGTAATTTGTATACAAATATCATATGATTTCTTACATTTATAATATTTTAGAAACTAATAAATAATAAAATTTATATATTAAATAGTCAAAAACAACAAAAAAAGAATATATAAAATATAAATTTTAAAAAATGGTAAATAAATAAATTTCATATTATTAATTAATAGGATATTATGGAGAATAAAATTTCATATTGTCTTAAATAATTTTATAGTATTTAAGATAAAAGATATTTTTTTCTATTGCACCCCGTGCATCGCACGGGTATCAACACTAGTTTTTAGTAAGGTTTTGATTGCATTGTTTTTGGCCATAAACCAAAAGCCAAACTGTTCCTAGTTCACAACTTTTTTGGCTGACTTACAAAATTAAATGAATTTTGTTTTCATAATAGAAAATGATATATTTTGTCCCCCTTTTTTTTTTTTTTTT